ACCCACAGGACTCTAAGAATAATGAGGAGGCGTTTTCTCTGTAGGGCAGCATTTGAATACTGGGCGTGGAATCCAGGAACTAATTAACAAGTGAAATCAACAGCAGGGATTCCCCAGAAGGTAATTTCCCACTGCTGCTAGTCTTTCCCAGCATAAGGCCCACTAGAAGGCCACACCCTAAACTTCCAATCAGAACAGCACCAGCACCCAGCTGAATGGTCATAACGGTTTCCCTCTCCAACTCTCTTCTTGCTTGCAGTCTCCATGTTCACCCTGGCAGCCAGAGGACATAGGCCAACAGTCTTTGGGTGAGTTTTTCCATGACTTAAGCCCTTCGTGTTGCCTTTCTTGAAATGTTAAACTGCGGAAAATTAGAAAACAAGCCAAGCAGGGTTATATACACCTGCAGCCCCAACACCAGAGAGATGGAGGCAGATGTATCACGAGCTGAGGACAGTCTGGGCTAAATACTGGGACCCTGTCTCAAAAGGGGGAGGAGGCTTACATGTGTGTCTGTGTGTGTCTGTCTGTCTGTGTATCTCTGTGTGTGCGTGTCTGTGTCATGGCTTCAGTTGTGATCATCAGTTGTAGTCAAAGGACAGCTTTCCATTTTGTCTTTTCACCAGGTGAATCTGGAGGCTCAAATTCAGGTTAGTAGGCTTAGTAGTCTGTACCCTCTGAGCCATCTCACTGACCCTAGTTACATTTATGTGCATGTGTGTGTCTGTCTGTCTGTCTGTGTATCTCTGTGTGTGCGTGTCTGTGTCTGTGTCATGGCTTCAGTTGTGATCATCAGTTGTAGTCAAAGGACAACTTTCCATTTTGTCTTTTCACCAGGTGAATCTGGAGGCTCGAATTCAGGTTAGTAGGCTTAGTAGTCTGTACCCTCTGAGCCATCTCACTGACCCTAGTTACATTTATGTGCATGTGTGTGTAGAGGCCAGAAGACAACCTTAGCTGCAACTTTTCAGGCACTGCTCATCCCCTTATTTGTTTAAACAAACCTCTCCCTGGCCTGGAACTTCCTAAGTATGCTAGGCTGGGCAGTGAGCCCCAGGGACCTACCTGCCTATCCCTGCCTCCCCTGCCTCCCCAGTACCAGGACTGCAAGCATGGTGCCACACTTTTTTTAAACCATGGATTCCGGGGATCAAACCCAGGTCCTCAGGCTTGCAAGACAAGTACTTTCCCAGCTGAGCTATGCCTCCAGGGCCCCTATTCACCCTTTAAGAAGGGATTTCTTTCTGGTTCCCTGTGGCTATTGAGAGGATGTAGTGGGCATAAAGCTTCAGTTAAGCAAAATAAATAAACCCTAGAGATGAGCTATATAACACCACATAGTCAATAATATTATAGTTGAAATTTGTTATGAGAGCAGAAGTTATGTTGTTTTTTTCCACAGCAAAACAAAATTTTAAAAATATTATTTGAGAGCTGGACTTAGTGGCATAGGCCTATAATCCCAGCACTGGAGAGGTGGAGGCAGGAAGATCAGGAGTTCAAGGACATCCTAAGCTATGTAGTGAATTTGAGGCCAGCTTGGTCTATATGAGACCCAGTCAATGAAACAAAGTCAAGGAAAGAGGAGAAAGGAACTGAGCATGGGACAATAGAGACACATTCATAATCTCTATTTTCACAGCTGCCGTGTGATCATAGCATATTTTTACCACCAATAGCAATTTAGAACTGAAGAGACCAGTAAGCGGACAATACTGATTAATTTCCCCAAGGATAAATGGCTAATTACTGCCGCAGTTATTTTTGGACATTGACCTTTTGACCTCGAATCTAGTTCTCTTTATCTTGCCCTGTACTTAAAGTACTGGGTAAAGTACCTTAGTCTGTAATCTTAAGAAAATTAACTTCTCAGAGTCCCAGGTCTGCAAAGGGAGGTTCAAAATGTAAGCCTTTCCCTATTTAATAGAGTTGGTTTTATTGCTGCCTAAGTATCTATTTCTTATTGTGTTGAATAGTTTATCAAAAGACAATGAGGGACTGGAAAGATGACTCAGTGGTTAAGAGCTCGTACTGTTCTTGCAGAAGACTCAGGTTAGATTCCTAGCCCCTACATCACAAAATGACAATCACATGTGATTTCTTATTGTTTAATTCTTATATGAATACTCTAAAAGCCAAATGAAGTGTGTATATTTTACTAAAATCATGGATTTAAAAAAATATTTGTTGTTTTTATTTTTTGTGTATGATGAGTGTATTGCTTGTAATTAAGTGCACCCAGGCTTTACTCCTTCCTACATCTCCAGCCTGAATTGGGGGAGTAGAAACTGGGATCCACCCTTATTTTATCGGAGAATCTTGCCCTTTGATCCCTAAGCCTAGAATACCACACATGCAATTTCGAAAAAACATCTAAATTCTCCTCATTGTTTCAATGAGAAAAACAGGCGGCTTCAGGTGCTTTGATATTAAGCAGGCACACCCACGTTCATTCACTATCATGAGTGGAGGGCTGAGTGAGGTCCTGAGGGATTAAGGACAGGTGCCCACAGAAGAGGAACAGGTGGCTCAGCGAGCTTGTTTTCATTATAAACAGTAACTTTTTTGGTTGCAAGATTAGGTAAAAGTCATTAGTCCAGATTATGTCCATATTGTAAAAGTCTTTCCTATGCTAGCACACTTGCTGTTTCACATCTCAAAATATCCTTTATGGGGCAGTAAGAAGGACATGGAATAGCCAGGGCTGGTGGCAGAGATCTGTAATCCCTGCAATTGGAGAGGCAGAAGCAGGAGAATTGGAAGTTTAAGGTCTGCCTGGGCATCTTAGTGAGATACTGTTTCCAAAAGGTAAAAAGAGCTAGGGATATAGTTCAGTGGTAAACCACTTGTCTAGCGTGTGTGAGGCCCTAGGTTCTGTTCTTGTTACCCTCCCACCTCCAAGAAAAGGCTATTACAGATCCCTAAACCATGCTCTTGTGTTTGTCAGTCTCTACAACCTTGTCCTAAAAACATTTAAATTGGGGCTGGAGAGACGGTGCAGCAGTTAAGAACAATGGCTGTTCTTACAGAAGACCCAGGTTCAAATCCTAGCCCCATATGTCAGCTAACAATTGTCTGTAACTCCAAGTCCAGGGGATCCAACAGCCTCTTCTGTCCTCCTTGGACATTGCATGACATGGGTGCACTTACCTGCATGCAGGTAATACATGCATACACATAAAATAAAAATAATACATTTTCATTTTAAAAATTTTTAAATTTTAAATAATTAAGTTTATTGATTAATTGTATGAAAGGGGGCACCTACATGCTGTGACATACATGTAAATGCCAGAGGATAATGTGTGGGAATTGGTACTCTCTTTCCACCATGTGTGTCCCAAGGATTGAACTCAGGTCATCAGGCTTGGCAGCAAACACCCTTACCTGCTGAGGCATCTCACCAGCTACAAACTTATATCTTTATAAATTACTCAGTCTCAGACATTTTGCTGTAACAGAAAATCAACTGTGTTACTCTAGTAAACTGCACTACAATACCTGACAGCCTGAGACGTGGAAAGATTTATTTTGGGCTTTTGGTTTCAGTCCATGGTCACTTGACTTTGTGGCAGCTGGGACTGTGTGGAGGCAGTACACACTGATGGGTATGTGTCTTGGAGGAAGTTCCTCACCTTATTGCAGCTGCGAAGTAAACGATCGGGCATGAGGTTGGAGAAATGACTCAGCAGTTAAGAGCACATGCTTATCTTGCAGAGGACCTGAGTTCAGTTCCCAGCATCCAAATTAGACAGCTCACAATTGCCTGTAACTCTACCTCCAGGGTATCTAACACCCTCTTCTGGACTGCCCTCACATATGCACATACCCACACACAGGCACACACACATACATTTAGTTAAAATAAAACTCTGTTTTCTTTTGTTTTTTCAGACAGGATTTCTCTGTAGCCCCAGGTGGCCTGGAACTTGCTATGTAGACCAGACCGGCCTCCAAATCACAGAGATACATCTGCCTCTGCCTCTCAAGTGCTAGGATTAAAGGTGTGCACCACCATGTCTGACAAAATACATCTTTAAAAAGATGGGAAAGGAAAAAAAAAAAGAAAGATGAGATGTGGACCAAATGGAGTAAAGGTCCTGAAATACCCTTCAAGATCACTGCCCCCCACCCCATGACCTAACTACTTCCAATTAGGCCAAGTCTCCTAAAGTTTCCACCACCTAGGGTCACCAAAGGTTAGGAAGCATGCCTTTGACATGTAGACTTGAGACTCATTTATAAGATTTATTTTAAATTGTGCATCTGTGTGTGGGTATGAAAATGGGAGGTTAAATATCAAGAACTTGTCTCAAAAAAACTAAAACATCAGGAAATGGTGACATGTGCTTTTAATAGCAGCCCTCAGGATTCTGTGAATTCCTGGCCAGCCAGTGAGATGTAGTGACAGCCTGTCTCAAAACGAAACAGAACAAACAAAACCACTTATTAATTACACAGAGCAAATGCTGGGGGACCCTGCTGCTAAGGTTGCAGTCCGCCATGTCTGGATAGCTCTAAGGAGCTCAGCGCTGTATGGAGGACTCCCTTTCTCACTGGGGGCTTCTGGCTCTCTGCCTGCCCTTATCTGGAAAGTGCCTCCAAGCATGGATGCCCAGCCTTATTTGGAACATTACCTTTTGTATAGTTACCTGCACTAAACTGCCCCCAGGTTTTTTCTATATGACAATTAGGCATTGCCCTATAGCCAGATGATCAGATCCCCCTACCACATGTAAATAAAGCATACTATGAACACCTATCAGCTGAAGCTTTGGCTACCATTGCCACCCTATATTTTTCCCTGACCCCCACTGAATAAGTGAGCTGTATCACTGAAATTGACTCCTGGAAGGTCTTTTCCATCGTGCTCACTGGCCATCCTGACCCAATTAGTCGCTTCTGCTCCCTTTATTCTCATAGGTCGGTGGCCAAGAGCCCATGAGGGGTGGGAGAGACCCACAGCTGGAGCCCAAACATGGGGCTCCTGGAATGCACAGAGTTTGTGAGTACCCCCCTTCCAAGGGGGTAGTGGCAGCTTTGCCTTGGCCATCCCACTCTTAAGGATCGGCAAACCCTCCTTTCCTCCTTTTACTTTCGGTCTGAGTCTTCACGTGAGACTGTTAAAGACAAAGGAGCAATTGAGGCTTTCTGATCAGGGCTACTCCCTGATGCTGGCCAAAGGCTCTTAGTCCTCTGAACAGACTCTGACTGCCCACCTGGGTGTAGACAAAGACCTCCTATGTATACATCTTTCTAATGCAAAACCCCATCACACGACAACCAGTTAAATGCTCTTAGAGCGGTCACCCGTTCTCTGAAACTTGCAGTCAGGCTTGCACTGTGGACTAGCAAGGAATCCCCTGAGACCTTTGGGTCTCGGGAATGTTTCCCTAGGAATCAGTGTTTCACCCCCTTTCCTTTTCTATCTTGAACAACACCCCTAGAAACAAAGAATCCTCAAAGTTCTATCATGCAGGGATTTTTCACACACATTGAATTCAACTCGTAAGAGAGCAAATAAACTTCCTTATCTGTTTTGTTACCTTGCTTTGGGGCATTCAGGCTCAGGCCAAACCAGTTAGGTGAGAATTTAAATTGGCCTGCTGAGAGAGAGAGAGAGAGAGAGAGAGAGAGAGAGAGAGAGAGAGACAAGAGATTTAAAGCAGTGGGTGGCCACAGAGCATTTAAAGAATTTAAGGTGGTGTGCCCCATGGACAAACAGAAAAAAGATTTTAAAAGCCTTTTTTATTTCGTAAACTTTTTCTTGGGGAAGGGGCTCACCCGAGACAACCGCCCCATGTGGAGGGCTTTCTCCCATAGTCCTCCGTGTCCCCATGGGCTTCCCCTTGGGGGAAAGTGCCTTCATGCCGCATGTACCCAGATGGCGGCTGGCTCGCACCGAGGGCGCATGCAGCACAGGTCATGGCCTTTTCTCTTCCCTCTCTCCCACAGCAGTGGCTATGCCAGTCCTCGGGAGCCAAGCTACTACCAACACATAGTTACAACTATGAGAGATTAAAAGGGATAGCCTACTTGAATGGGAGACTTTAGATGCGGACTCCACTGGTCCCAATTGCTTCCCTTTTCTGTATTGTGATTCTAAGCCTGTTTTTCTCTGGAATAGAGTATTTCTCTCACTGATGCTCAGTTATACTATGCTTGCTTTTGTCTCTGCCACATCATTCCCTGGGCACCTTCTAGTTACAATGTCATGGATAGACTAAAAAGAAAAGAGCATTATGATATTGTCTCTTTGCATTTACTTTTAGGAACCATTGTTTTCTGTATTCCTTATTCTCCAGTTCATGGGTACTTAATCCAAGATCATATATAATAAATTATAAAATGTTTTTTCCAATCCAGACTGACAGGCCTCTTCAAAGGAATTCACCATGCAAGTTAACAGTCTTGACTTAGTTTAAAAGTAAAATATGGATAAACAATTCAAAACTTTTAGGCTAAAGGAAAACAAATGCCTTTTTGTATTAATTATATTGGTAAACATAATTACCAATATAATTCACATGCTGTTTGAGCTCACTGAGATGCTGACTCTGGAGATGAATTGGCCCTCCCACTTCAGACTCAAGCCTATTATCTCAAGATATGTTCTCCAAGACTTTTCCAGGTTCAGGATGGCCCCCTGACCCTGTGACAAGAAAAGGAGAACAACAAAACAGCCTAAGAGTAAATTCACTGTACAATTAAAAACAGCTAAGGTTTAAACTAATTTCAACAGAGGGTATTACTGTCTATAGTAAAAGTAGTTAATGGGATTCTCTATTTGGTCACAATACTGAGTAAAGTCACTAACACAGACTAATGTAAAATGTATGGTAAATACAAAGATAAATTTAGCTACTTAATAAAAAAACAACAGGATAGCTTTTAAAAAAAAGATTTTCTGCCTAGAATTCCTCAGTCAGTAACTAAAGCATCACAGTTTCCTTAATTGATTATGCTAAAAGCTGTAAACACCAATTTGATGATGCTTAACTATGTACCAGTTGTTTCTTTCCATCTCATCAGTGTGTATGGCTTTGTCCAACACAGTCATTTTGAGATGAGCTTCTCATATATATATACAT